GCAGCTGTGTGTGGAGCAGGAAGGTGGAGGCGTTTAAACAAGCCTGTGATTCATCCTGATCAGTTTAAACAGACGCGTCAGTGTTTCTGCGACTGTTTAAATAAAGCGAGCGACTCTTAATCCTGCAACCACCCGGACTCGGAGACGGATGGGATCTGTGCGAGCCTCCCGGGGTGCGTTTGATTTGCAGCGTCAGGACGCGCTGCTTGTCTGACAGTGTTGCTTTTAAAGGCATGTTTTATGTTTTCTGCATTCTCATTTTTCACCTCTCTGGAAGGCGCCGCGACCGAGTTCAGCTCGTTTCAGGACTTTATGATCCTCCAGAGAGAGTCTCAGTCTGAGTTTAGAAACAAACTGCTGCTTCGGCCTGAGAACGCTGGGCAGCTCAGCGGGGTCGTCGATGATGGGATGACATATGGACAAAAGTTAAAGTGTCTCGCTGAGTTTTGGTCCAGCACGCAGGACCGGAGCAGCGTCCGTGCTCCTCAGCACCGACCGGCCAAGAAGATTCATAAACGCCACCAACAAACACCAACCAGCCTCCTGAACTCCGACCTTCAAATTTAACCCATGAACAGAAATGTTACCTGGAGTCTGGATTCATGATGAAGGATGATGATGATGACTGCATACACCAATCTGTAGCACGCCTCCTGTGATTGGTTAACAAGGCGGTGAGGTTCTGATCCTTGCGGTCGAGTCTCGGGGCTGCTACAAATAAAATACCCACAATCCCCCTCTTAAATCCCACTGCATTCCTGTCTGAAGTGCTGCGACCACAGGCACGCCGGCCGCAGTGCGAACAATGAGTGCGCACAGCGCTCTGATCCGAGTCCGTGTGGAGTGTTTGAGCGTCGGGGGATGGAATCGCTACGAGCTGCCTGCTCCAGGCGCAGGAGAGTCAAACAGTCTGAAGCTCAGCTTGAAGCAGCCGTGTGTCAGAGGACGTCAGTGTCAGGCAGAAGAATAGTTTGATAAGAAGATAAAAACCTGTCAGCACCCTGAACCCGGGGGGGGGAACAGAAAACGTCCATGAGCGTCTCTGCAGCGACTCGCTGCAGTTTGAGTCAGGTGACTGGTGAAATAAAGGTGACAGGGTCCACAGAGTGTGGAGCGCCACAGTGTGACAGGGTCCACAGAGCGTGGAGCGCCACAGTGTGACAGGGCCCGGTGGATCATGAGTTTTTATTTTGATGATTATAAACAGAGAAATAATTGTCTTATATATTTCTGACCCTGAGTAACTGTGACTGTTAAACTGCAGCTTCATGTTTGTAAGTGTGATCCATGAGCTTCGTCACGCTGCTGATATCTGCAGCAGCTGCAGTGAGCGGTTCGGTGTACACGCCGAGGAGAGATCAGCTGTTAGCGCCGTGTGACCGCGCTCAGGTGTAACTGCGGCCTCTCTCCCTCAGGTTTCCTGTCTCAGCCATATTGCTGCTAACTACCTGAATGCGGGGAAGGAGGCGAGGCGCTGGGGGACGGCCCACGAGAGCATCGTACCTTACCAGGTAACACCTTCAACTGGCCACTATCTAACAATAACTTTATTGATATCACACCTACAACACGGAGAAAGGAAAAGACAGAAAATGTAACATTGAATCAACATTGTTAGATAAGAATAAAATAACAGTGATGTCAGGAAAACAGAAGAAAAGTGATGCACGAATATTAAATAATGATGAGCTGATAAAAGGACGGCTCATAGAAATGTTCTCAGCAAAACAAAGGGTGAAACTTTATAACCAGTCAGTCTAATTAAATAGAGTTTAAGTGTCGTTGTTATGCAGCTGCACTAGAATCAGGTTTCATAGGAAACAAAGGGATAATTATGGTGTGATTTCCTGCTGATTCAGCAGAAACATGTCTCTCTGTCTTACAGGGTAAGCATGTTGTTCTCAGGGCCGTGTTATGGTTTAACCTTTAACCTTTAGGAAAGGAAACAGACTCTACGGTAGGAACATTAAAGAGCAGCACTTACATGTAGCTACAGTAGAGTCACAAAGCAGAGTTTACCACAGTCCGCTCTTCTGTCAGTGCGATGTTACGGTTTAACAGCGTTCAGCCTCTAAAACGCGCCTCAGCCGGTCGGCGAGCCGTGAGCCAGCTGACTGTGTGGCTCTTCTTCTCTGGTGTCTCTTTGAGCGTCTCGGCTGTAATTCTGGTGTGTTTGACAGTTTCCCTCCAGGCTTGAGGAGACTCTGTGAGCTTGTTTGTTATTAACAGACTTTATTGCATCTGCGGGAGGAACACACGTCTCTGACGCCAGAAACTGCTTCAGACTAAGATGGGCTGAATTACACTTTCAGGGTCTCAGCGCGGCAGCAGCTCTGACCTCCCTCTCTCTGGCCACACCCTCCAGCTTTGTTGGTGCAGATTTACGGATCTGAGAGTTTTCTCAGAGCTTCTAACATCCAAATATACGAGTCTCAGGCGTGAGCGTTGTCAGAGGAAGAGCTGTTTGAGATCTGAGGAAGT